CCTGCTCATTGTCCTCCTCATCTTCCTATCCCCATCCTCCTCTGATTCCATCCCCTCTTCTTTCACTCTCCTCACCTTCGCCTCCTCATCCTCCTCTGCCCCTTTCCCTTCTCTCTTTTTCCTGCTGAGCGTTCTGCTCACCTTCCTATCATAATCCCCTCCCTCGAATTCCCCTGCATCCTTCCCCTCCCTCCCCTCCTTCCCCTCCTTCCCCTTTCTCTCCACTTTACTAAGCGTCCTTCCTGCCTTCCTTTCTTCCCCTTTCCCAGCCGCTACACCTAAATTTTCATCTCTACTCTTCTCTCCAGCATCTTCCTTCCCTCCTCTCTTCACCTTACTCATTGTCCTTCCCATCCGCCGCTCCTCTCTCCGCTCCTCATCCACACTGCTACTCTTCATCAGCACATCAGCTCTAGCTTCCATCCCTCCCTCCTTCCCCTTGCCCGCCTCTTTCCCCTTCTTGCTCATCGTTCGCTTGACCTTTGCTGCAACCCCTCCAGCAGTCTCAGCAGAAGCACCAGCAGCAGCAGTGGACTCGTGGTCTCTACTCTTTTTCCCTCCAGCTGCCTTGATTAATTTCCCCATTGATGAGTCCAGGCCCTTCAGAATCTTGCCCAGCCCACCTTTTTTCTTGCCAGATGCCGCACCCCCCCCTTCCTCTTCTTCCTCCTTCTCCACCTCCTCATCCTCCTCCCTCGATTCCCCACCCTCCCGTCCACCGGCACGCCTTCGCTCCTCCTTCTCCTCCTTCCCTGCACTCCTCCCAATCCCTTTCCACCGCAGCCGCTGGAAATCAACCGGTGACACACTCCTGCTTCTACTACTGCTGCTCTTAACAGGCGATACCCCTCTGCTGCTGCTCCTGCCACCCTCAACCGCACCAACAGCAGCAACAGCAACAGCAGCGGCAGCAGCAGCAGCAGCAGCAGAGGCATGTGAAGCGCTCATGCTCTGGGGAATCATTCTCCGCGCAGGCCCACTCACACCACTTAGAGTGCCACTAGAATCATCCACAGAACCCCGTCTGTGCGGGGACACAGGAGCCCTCCTGCCACTAGAATTATCCATCGAAACCCGTCTAGACGCGTTGGGAGAGCTGGTGGGAGAACGAGCCATAGGGGGGAGCCAGGACACGGCTTGCGACGCGCTCACGCTCTGGGGGATGATTCTTCTACCAGGCGGGCTTTGGGTTGGGCTAGAATGAGCCATGTTCGGGGACCGGGGCATACGAGAAGGGCTCTGCTCTGCAGGAAGGTAGAAGCCAGCAGCGGCAGCAGCAGCAGCAGCAGCAGCAGCAGCAGCAGCAGCAGCAGCCGCAGCAGCAGCCGCAGCAGCGGGGGCATGCGAGGCGCTCACGCTCTGGGGGATCATTCTTCTACCAGGCGGGCTTTGGGTCGGGCTAGAATGAGCCATGTTCGGGGAACGCGGGGGCACCCGAGAAGGGCTCTGCTCTGCAGGAAGGTAGAAGCCAGCAGCAGCAGCGGCGGCAGCGGCTGGGGCATGCGATGCGCTCATGCTCTGAGGGATCATTCTGCGTACAGACGGGCTTTGAGTTGGGCTAGAATGAGCCATATGCGGGGAACGGGGCACCCGAGAAGGGCTAGAATGGGCCGTATGCGGGGATCGGGGCGGGTCAGAAAGGACCTCCCCTGGCAGTTGAAATCTGACCACCGTACCAGAGTGCGATGCACTCATGCTCTGGGGAATCATTCTCCGCACGGGAGGGCTGGTAGTGCCGCTGCCGCTAAAATCGTTGTCCACTGATTGCCGCCTGCTGCTGCTGCTGCTGCGCTCAACAGAAGCAACAGCGGCGGCGGCGGCAGCGGCAGCAGCAGTCGAGTGCGATGCACTCATGCTCTGGGGAATCATTCTTCGCACGGGAGGGCTTGAAGCGCCATTGCCGCTGAAATCGTTGTCCAGTGATTGCCGCCTGCTGCTGCTGCTGCGCTCAACAGTACCAGAGTGCGATGCACTCATGCCCTGGGGAATCATTCTTCGCACGGGAGGGCTTGTAGTGCCACTGCCGTTAAAATCGTTGTCCATTGACTGCCGCCTGCTGCTGCTGCTGCGCTCAACGGCAGCTACAGCGGCTGCGGCAGCAGCGGCAGAAGTGGCATGTGAAGCGCTCATGCTTTGAGGAATCATTCTGCGCGTGGGTTGGCTGTGAGTGCCGCTAGAATCGTCCACTGACGATCGTCTGGTGGGTGACACTTGGAGCTCACGAGAAGATGGGGTGACTGGGGTGGTAGCGGTGGATGGGTTGGCTGGGGTGGTAGGGGTGGTTGGGGTGGTTGGCGGCTTGCTACCGTGTGACTTTCGGGGTTTACCTGATGAGGTCGTTGACACACTCGAAGCAGCCGAATCTGCTGAAACCACTGATGCTGCTGCTGATGCTACAGATGCTACAGAAGCTTTAGATGCTACCGATGCTACCGATGCTTTGGAGGCTCGGGAATCTGCAGATGCTGCAGATGATGCTGATGCGACCGATGCTCCCCTGAAAAGGTGCTTCTTGCTCGTCCTCTTCCTCTCGCCACTCCCCTCCTTCATCTCACTGTCACTCCCTTCCTTCATCTCACCGATCGCAGGCAGACGAGCCGCTTTCTTCTTCCCCTTCCTCACCTTCTTCCCTGCAGCAGCAGCACCGTTCGCCGCACTCGCACCAAGACCACTCAGCATCCCACCAGCATCAGCACTCCCAGCAGCACCAGAAGCAGCAGCATCAGCTGAGCCCCGTCTAGAAGGCTGCTTGGGAGTGGCAGGGGAGAGCAGGGCGAAGCTGAAGGAGCCAGCAGGGGAGGCGGGAGAGGAGGCGTTGCTGCGGGGAGTGCTGGTGCCGCTGGTGGGGCTGGTGAGAGTGGTGGGGGAGAGGGGGGCCGCAGGGATGGAGAGGCGCTGAGGTGTGGTTGCGAGCTCTCCTGTTGGCAGCATATGGCGAATTGTCACATTCGATAGCAGCTCCTGCGGCGGCTGCTCCTGGTGTGAGATTTGAGGCGCCTCAGAACTTGAGGTAGCGAGCTCCCCTGTTGGCAGCATATGGCGGATTGTCACGTTCGCTAGCAGCTCCTGCGGCGGCTGCTCCTGCTGCTCCTGTTCCCTCTTTTTCTCCTTCTCTTCCTCTTGCTCCCCCCCTTGCTGCTGCTGCCCCTTGGGATCCTCTTTACTGCGGATTTTATTCCCCTTTTTCGAACCCTTTCTGAACTTACTTCCTCCCTCACTGTCTCCTCCTGCCTCCTGCCTCTCCTCACCCGCTTCCCCTTCTCCCCTCTTCAACTTACTCTTGCTTCTCCTCACCCGACCGCTCTTCACCGCATCATCCCCGCTCGTCTCCCCATCCCGGGACTCCTGCCGATGAATCTTCCTGGAAGGAGACTTGAGCAACGCTTTCTTCTCGCCTCCTTTTGCCTTGACCTTTCCCTTCTTCCCTTCACCAACACCCTTCTCCTCCACACTCCCATGCCCCACACTCCCTTCTTTCTCCGCTGTTGCTGCTGCTGCTGCAGCTGCTGCAGCTGCTGATGCTGCTGTTGCCTCTGCTTCTGATTCTGCCTCTGCATCGCCTGTCCCATCTGCTGTCCCTCGCCTCCCCGACAGCTCCTGAGTCCGTTCAAAGAGAGGCGGGTCTGCATGCAACAGCACGGCAGCACCAGCTGCACTCTCGCTTATCACCACGTCTCCTGCTGCCACCGCTGCCGCCACTGCCGAACCGATTCGGCGGATGGATGGGGTATCTGTTGCTGTGGAGCTTGAGGAAGGTACATCTGAGGCAGGTGCGTCTGAGGTAGGAACGTATGAGGTAGGAACGACTGTGGTAGGAACGTCTGAGGTAGGAACGTATGAGGTAGGAACGACTGTGGTAGGAACGTCTGAGGTAGGTACGTCCGAAGCAGGAACGTCCGAAGCAGGAACGTCCGAAGCAGGAACGTCCAAAGCAGGAACGTCCGAAGCAGGTACGTCCGAAGCAGGAACGTCCGAAGCAGGAACGTCCGAAGCAGGAACGTCCGAAGCAGGAACGTCCGAAGCAGGAACGCCTGAAGCAGGTACATCTGAGGCAGGTATATCCGAAGCGGGTGCATCTGAAAAAGGTACGTCTGAAGCAGGTGCGTCTGAATCAGCTACATCTGATGCAGCAACAGCAGCAGCCACTACAGCTGGCAGCAATGGCTCAGCAACTACTGTTTCAGCCGCTGATTCTGTTTCTCCCCCAGCTACCTCGGCTGTTTCACCTGTCTCTGCCACTACTGCTGCATCCCCAGCTTCTTTTGTCACTACTGCTGCTTCTGCCACTGCTGCTGCGTCAGCCACTGCTGCTGATTCGGCCACTTCCGATCGTTCTGCTGCTTCGGCCACTGCTGCTGTTTCTTCTGTTAGTTCTAACGCTACTCCAGCTTCTGCTGCATCTACCGATTCTGCTGCGTCTATTAATCCTTCTCCTTCTGTTGCTGCACTTGCCTCTGCGGCTCCTACTGCTGCACTTGCCTCTGTGGCTCCTACTGCTGCACTCGCCTCTGTGGCTCCTACTGCTGCACTCGCCTCTGTGGCTCCTACTGCTGCACTTGCCTCTGCGGCTCCTACTGCTGCAGTTGATTCTGTGGCTCCTACTGCTGCACTTGCCTCTGTGGCTCCTACTGCTGCACTTGCCTCTGTGGCTCCTACTGCTGCACTTGCCTCTGTGGCTCCTACTGCTGCACTCGCCTCTGTGGCTCCTACTGCTGCACTCGCCTCTGTGGCTCCTACTGCTGCAGTTGATTCTGCTGGGTACTTCAGTTCTGCTACATCTGTTAGTGTTAGTTCTGCTGTTTCCGCCACTTCCGATGTCATTGCTGCTGCTCCCCCAACCCCTAAAAGGACTGACGCTGCTGGGTTCTTCGGTTCTGCTACATCTGTTATTGTTGGTTCAGCTGTCTCCGCCACTTCTGCTGCAGCTGCTTCTTCTGTCATTGCTGCTGCTCCCCCAACCCCTAAAAGGACTGACGCTGCTGCTGCAGCTACTATCTGACTGGCCTCAGCCCTCCCATCTACCTCCTCATTTACCATTTCACCCATATCCACCACTCCTTCTGTCCTCTCTTCGCCCTTTCCCTCTTCCCCCTCTACGCCCTCCTTCCTCTCCCTTCCCTCCTCCCCCTCCCTCACTTCCTCGCCTCTACTCGCCCCATCTTCCTCCAAATCTTGCTCGTCCCTATGACTTCCCTCCTCACTCTTCTCGCTCTCTTCGTTCTCTTCTCCATTTTCCAATCCTAGTCTCTTCCCCACCTCACTCTCCTCCTCCTCACCCTCCTCTCGCTCCCCTTCCATCTGTGTACCCTCCAGACTCTCTCCTCCTTCCTCCGCCAATTCCACTTCCCTAACGCAACTACTGTTTCCCTCTTTCTCCTCTTTCTCCTCCTCTTCCTCCTCTTTCTCCTCTTTCTCCTCCTCTCTCTCCTCCTCCACTCTTTCACGCTCAACTTCTTCTTCAGCCTTTCCTCCCTCCATCCCTGTTCGCTCCATTGCCTCTCCTCGTTCCTCCACCTCCCTTTCCCCTTCCACCTCTCTCTCCTCATCCACCTTTGCACCCTCCTCTGCCTCTCTCGCTTCCTGCACCATTCCCACCTCCCCAACGCAGCTTCTCTCCTCCGCCTCTCTCTCCTCCTCCTGCCCTTCACTCCTAGTCTCCTCCTCCTCCCCTTCACTCCTAGTCTCCTCCTCCTGCCCTTCACCCCTAGTCTCCTCCTCCTCTCCTTCCTTCATCCCTGTTTTCGCCTCAGCCTCTCCTCCTCCCTCCTCCTCGCTTTCCCCTTCCACTTCTCCCTCCCCTTCCACCTCTCGTCGCGCCTCTGCCTCTCCCGCGTCCTGCCACGTTCCTGCATCCCCGACGCAGCTTCCCTCCCCTGCCTCACTGTGCTGCTCCTCCCCTTCACTCCTAGCCTCCTCCTCCTCCCTTTCACTCCTAGCCTCCTCCTCCTCCCCTTCACTCCCAATCTCCTCCAACTCTCCTTCCTTCATCCCTGTTTTCTCCTCCGCCTCTCTTTCTTCCTCCGCCTCGCTCCCCTCTTCCCCCTCTATCCCCACCTCCACCACTCTCCCCTCCTCCACTTCACTCCCCTCCCCCTCGTCTCTCCCCTCCTCCTCCTCTCTCCCATCATCCACCTCTCTCCCCTCCCCCCCTCTCCCCTCCCTCTCAATCCTCCCCTCCCTCTCTCTCGTCTCCTCCTTCTCCCTCCCCTCCTCACTCAAACCCCCATCCACCTCCATCTCCTCTTCATCCACGGACGGTAGATCGGAGCCAAACGACGATCTCGACCGTCGATCGCGCCGCCTACTATCAAGCTTCTTCAGAGCACCCCATCCAGCAACCACTCTTCCATGCCCTCCTCCCCCTTCGAGCCCCTTCCCTAACCCCTCTCCCTCTTCCAATCCTCCTCCCTCATCCCACCCGTTTCCCAATTCTAATGCCCCGCCCTTTACCACACGTCCACCAATGACCTCACCTTCCTGAAAACCACCAAGCACAACAGGGTTCCGTGAACATTCACCTGAAGTTTCATCTGAATCATCCAGCATCAGCTGCTCCTCTTCCTCGTAGTCCCCCCACCAGAAGGCCTCGTTATTGCCACCCTCGTTATTGACACTCTCACTCTTATCCTCCTCCTCATCATCATCGTCGTATCTCCGTACCACCTTAGCAAACCCAACAGCACCAATCTCCACCTCCCCCAGATAAGACCTCCCCAGGCTTTGAAGCGCCCCAGGGTCAGCTCCCACCTCCCCTGAATAAGACCTCCCCAGGTCACCAGAGCGTGAACGCCCAACCTCCCTCGCTCCCACCCCTGGATTCAACCCAACCTCCCTCACTCCCTCCTGCTCCGCACTCTTGCTTCTCACCACTCTCCCCCCCTCACTGCCCATAGGAACAAGCACTGTCTCTTCGGCAGGCGCTGACTTCCGATGGAAAATACTGGGCGCATTGTGAAAGAACCCCGGAGAAATAGGGCTAGTTGCCCCAAAGGTCTCCCTTCGGTGTAGGCCCTTGCTGCTCAGACCCATGACTGTCCCTTTCACCTTACCCAGCGTTTGCAAAAACCTGTTCCCGCCTCCTCCTCCTCCTCCTCCCTCTCCCTCTCCTCCTCCTCTTCCTTTTCCTCCTCCTCCTCCCACTCCCTCTCCTCCTGCCCCTCCTCCTCCCCCTCCCTCACCATCCCACCCCCAGTTAGAATCATCACCGCTCATAGTCACCTTATGAAGCGCCTCAGAACCCCAGCTAGAATCATCACCGCTCTTAGTCACACGTCGGGGCAGACGACCCATGCTGTGTGTCCGCCTTGACTCACCAGATGCAATCCCCGATGCTGCTGCTGCCGCCGCTGCCAACGCCACCGATGCAACGTTCCTTGCGCCCCCCCTGATCCCCTCCTTCACATTCAACGCCCCTCCCTTAATCCCTACTTTAACATTCAACGCCCCTTCTTTGATCCCTTCTTTAACATTATTCGCCCCTCCCCTGATCCCCTCCTTCACATTGATCGCCTTTTCCTTTATCCCCTCCTTTACATTCTGCGCCCCTTCTTTAATCCCCTCTCTCACATTTGACGCGCCTTCTTTAATCCCTTCTTTTACACTAATTGCTCCTCCCTTAATACCCTCCTTTACATTCAACGCCCCTCCTTTAATCCCCTCCCTAACATTCAACGCCCCTTCTTTAATTCCTTCCTTAACATTCAACGCCCCTCCCTTGATCCCCCCCGCCACAGTTAAAGCCCCACTCGCAATCCCGCCTGCTGCAGCTGCCAGGGCTTGACGTATTCTCACCCTCCTCCTCTCCTCCTCCTCCTCCTCCTCGCCCCCTAACCCAGGAATCACCCACAGGAGCATCATGGCTTCTTCTCTTGGAGATAAAACCTCCTCCCCCTTCTTGCCTTCCACCTTCTCTTCCGCCTTCCCTTCCGCCTTCCCTTCCGCCTTCCCTTCCGCCTTCCCTTCTGCCTTCCCTTCCTCCTCCCCATCCTCCCCATCCTCCTCCCCCTCATCTCCCTCACCCTCCGTCCCGCCTTGATTACTCGCCCTATCACCCTCCTCCTCCCCTTCTCTACTTCCCACGCTCTTGCCATCGAAACTGTTGTCTTCAGACGGGCGGCGTCGGGTGGCATTTAGCCGGGAAAGCATGCGCGGCGGTTTGGCCGGTGTCAGCACCGGGTTCAACCCCACAGCACCACGCTCATCCACCTCATCACCCTGCCCTGCACTGCCCCCAACCACCTCCCCGCCGCCAGCAGCAGCATCACTCTGCTCTCTGCTCTCTGCTTGCTCCTCCCTGCTCTCCGCTCGCTCTTCTCTGCCCTCTGCTCGCTGCTGCTCTAATAATCTCTCTCGACTCTCCTCCTCTTCCCTCTGCACCTCCAGCTGCTGCTCTAGCTTCTCCCACACCATCTTACTCCTCTCCCCCTCCCCACCACCACCCTCTCCCGCTCCCAACCCCTCGGCACCGCACTCGTTCTCCTCCGCCATCCTCCCCTCCTCAACCCCCTTCTCCCCCTCCCCATCCCCGTCTCGCTCTCTCCCTTCCACACCCACCTTCCTCTCCTCCTGTCTCACACTCTCCCCTCCCTCCGGCCTCAGAATAAGCCCTCTGATCGAGAGCTCTCTACGTTCAATCCTAGACAGCTCAGAGCATTTGGCCAGAAGCAGGTTCGCACGAGCAGGCAGTGAGGGTTCTGGCAGCGGGAAGTGCGGCTCAAAGAGGAACTGGAACACCTGCGGAAGCACCTGAGGACGCACCTGAGAAAAGGCACCTGGAGAATCACCTGGAGAAGCACCTGGCAACTCACCTGAGGCATCTGAGGGGGTACCTGGCGAGGGGAAGCGAGGAGGGAGGTCTGGGTGGCCCGTGTTGTTGAGAGTGGATTGTGCACTCACACTGTTTCTGAGGGACCTCAAACCAAGAAGGGACTTGCGAGGCGCTTCTGAAGGAGGGACCTTTGGATGAAGCCTGTTGAGAGATTGTGCACTGGCGCTGCGGTGAAGCCCGGGTCTGGGTGGCTTGCCTTGTAACTGCCGCACCTGCTGCTGCACCGGTTGCTGCACCGGTTGCTGATCCTGCTCCCGACCCTTCTGCTGATCTGACTGCTGATCCGTTTGAATTTCATCGGAACTCCGCGGCTTCTCCTCCTGCTGCTCGTTGAGCTGTCGTGACAGGAGCTTCTTTCCCGTCACTTGCTCAGCCCACTCCTGCCACCGCTCCTGGGGGTGCTTCTTACCACTCAGAGACACAGACGCAGCAGAAGCAGAAGCAGAGGCAGCAGAGGCAGCAGACGCAGCAGAAGCAGAAGCAGAGGCAGCAGAGGCAGCAGCGGATCTAAGGGATGACAGGCAGCGGATCCGGGCGATTTCTCGCTTGAATTGAGGGAAGGAGGTGGTGAGATCAACTGCATGTCGCTGAGAGGACGGGAGAGAGGAGGGGAGAGAGGAGGAGGAAGAGGAGAGGGAGGATGTGGAGGGTTCGGCAGGGAGGGAAGAGGGGGGAAGGGAGCAGTGAGGCAAGAGAGATGAGTCACGATTGGAGCGCGAGCTGAGCTTCTGCAGTGTCGGCTTCATTGGTTGTGACTGCTGCACCTGCTGCAACTGCTCCTGCTGCTCCTGCTGCTCCTGCTGTGCCTGCTGCTCCTGCTGCTCCTGCTCCTGCTCCTTCTGCAAACCGATTAAGTCACGGTTGGAGCGCGAGCTGAGCTTCTGCAGTGTCGGCTTCATCGGCTGCGCCTGCTGCTCCTCCTGCTGCAATTGCCGAGACTGCTGCTCTGTCTGCTCCTTCTGCTCTGTCTGCTGAAGAGACACGAAATCCCCGCTACCTGTGGCCCTGTCCAGTGACGCCCCAGAGGACTTGGAGCGATGGAGAGAAGGAGCATCCCTTGTCGTGCTGATCTGCTCCTTCTCGTGCGAGCTAACATCACGCCTCCAGTCACTGCTACTGCTGCTGCTGCTCTTGCTCTTGCGGATGAGCTGGGAGGGCTTGCTCTCACGGAACCGACTTGATGAGTTGCTTCTGCTGGAGAATCCGCCACGCGTGGCGCTGCCAATCCGCTTCAAGTTTTTGGGGTTATTATTCGGGTTACTAGTGTTACAGAAGCTACTGGAGTAACTAGAGTTAGTGGAGTTACTTAGGTTACTAGGGTTACGAGGATAACGGGTGTTGCTGCTGCTGGCAGTGATGGCAGCAGGGCGAATGCTACTGGCTGGGGGATCTATAAAGACGAAACGGTGCACCATTGAGAGGCTGCCACGTGGAAGATAGGCTCCTGGAGAGCTGCCACGTGGCTGTGCAGTGAATGAGGAGCGCAGGGGAGAGGAGGCTGCTGACGCGGCACCTGAGACGGCACCTGAGGCCACGATTGAACAGTCACCTGAGGAGGCACCTGAGCGGGCACCTGAGGCAGCAGCTAGAGAAGCATCTGCAGCAGCGTTTAAGGGAGAGGGACATCCCGCTGAGGCCCATTGCCTCAGGTACTGCCCTCTCCTGCCCAAACCACGACTTGATAGCTTCCTTTGCTGCTGCTCCTGCTGCTGCTGCTGCTGCTGCTGCTCCTCCTGTGGTTGTTGTTGTTGTTGCTGCTGCTGCTGCTGCTGCTCTCGGAATATTTCTAGCAGTCGCTTCCTTGAACCGGAGCGGCTGCTTGACATGTAACCACTGCGACCGGTCTGCGATGCAAAACGCAACTGTGAAGCATGCAATAAGGAGTATGAAGCCGAACCAGCAGCGTCCCTACCCTCGGACTTAGCCCTTTGCAACATCCGCTGATTCTGCTGCTGCGGGGAACGGGAATCTGCAACACTATCCAGCGATGCTGACGTGGCGCTGCCAGCTGGACTCGCTGACTGTGCTCCTGTCCCTGTGAAGGAGGCTGACCTGGCAACAAGCCTAGATCCGTCACCCATGGATGAGGACATACGCAGTGCCCTAGCCGCTCCCCCATCCACGCCCATTTCCAAACCCTCCTTACCCACTCCCTCACCCCCGTCTAACCAAGTGCGTTGCTCCGAAGCTGCTCTGATGCGGATGCGGAGGGACAGGGGCACCTGGTAGGCTGGTAAAGCCCGCCGGCAGTGCTGCCCCTCCGCTGCTGCTCTACTCGTCAAAGCAACATCGCTGGTTACTGCAGCACTATCGGGTATCGCATTGCTGCTGCTGGTCACGGCAAGACCGATGGTTACCGCGTTACCGCTGCTCCTGCTGCTCACTGAGCGTCGCATGGCTGCACTGCTGGCTGCACTGCTGGCTGCACTGCTGGCTGCACTAACCTCCTCTTCCTCCTCACCCATACTGCTGCCAGGAAGGGCAAGCACCGAAACAGCACTGCTGGAAAATGCACGTGAAAATCGTCCCCTGTGCTGCCCCTGGTGTTTCTGAGAGCTCTCGAATCCATGCCCCCCCTCCAACCCCTCCAGCCGTCCTCCTTCCTCCTCTAACCCCTCACCCTCCCTCTTCCCTTCTTCACCCTCCTCTGCCAACTCCCACTCCTCATCCTCCTCTCCAACTCCCTCCTCCATCCCTCCCCATCCCTCATCACCGCTTCCAACCTCCCATTCCTCTCCCCCTAAATCGCGTCCGCTCTCTCCCTCCACACCCACCCCGCTCTCCTCCAACCCCGCGACAAACCTATCAACGAACGACGCATTGTGCCCAAACGTCTCAGTCCTAGGAGCCTGTCTGCAGCAGCTGCTACCCCGGCTCCCACCCACACTCGGCCCACCAGGCAAACCAGCAATACTATCCACTCTCGATCCTATTCCCGATGCTGCTGCTGCTGCCACAGACGCCACGTTCCTTGCCCCTCCCTTGATCCCCGCCCTCACGTTCATTGCTCCCGAAGCTACGTTCTTAGCTCCGGACCGAACCCCTGCCGCAGCTGCGGCAGCAGCCCCGGCAATGGCAAGCCCGGAGGCATGGAAACGGCGGGAGTGAGAGCCTCTTATCCCTCTCCTACCCTCCCCTCCTTCCTCACACTCCTCCTCCTCCTCCCACAACGCCAGCAGCGCATCTTCAGGGGAAAGGGCTGCGAGGCTAGTCACCCTGAGGAACGGGATTTCCTCGGGCAAATCTCTCGAATGCCCCTTACGGGCATGCTGGAAGCTTGCGCTGCCCAAAAAAATCAGACTCCCTCTTCCCGCAGCCTCGCTGCTGCTGCTCACTCCGCTGGTGGTCTTGCTGCTAGGCAGCGCCCCAACTGCTGCTGCGGTGCAGTCCTCTTGAGCGACAGACCAAGCGGTTGAGTGCGGTTGAGAGGCAAAAACAGAACCCGAGTCAGGTCCGCCTGAGCTTGTGGCTACTGCAGTGGCACTCCGAGCGAGCGTTTTCGGTTTTACAGCGGAGGGTAACTGACCCGGTGAAGAAGCCAGAGCAGCCAGAGCAGGAGTGGCAGTTTCGCTTCTAGCCATCCTAGCACTGCCACCTTTCCTTGTCAACAGATTGCCTCTAGACTCCTTACGCGGAAGTGCCTGTGCCTCTCCCCTGCTGGTAGTATCCCCTCTAGGGAGTGATTTGGTACCCGTACTGCCCGTGCCAAGGCCGCCTGAGTAATCTACAGCGAAAAGGTCTGGATTGAAAGGGTCCGTATGGGCTGGGCTGGAGTGGAAGGAAGCTGCATCGAAGGACCACCTAGGCAGGGAGTCAGAATCAAAGGAACCATCCAGGAAGGAGTCTGCATCGAAGGAACCTTCAGTGAAGTTGCCGGGAGCATCTCTCTCCTTCCCACTCCTGCTCCTACCAAGGCTGGCAGGCACCATTGGGCTAGAGGAGTTGCTACTGCTGATGATTCGGCTGCCGTGGGTCTTACTCCTTGTAACGGATCTGCCTGTAAAGGAGCCAGGGCTGGTTCGAACGGCGCTCGTGGCCCCATCTCTGCTTCTGCTCTTACCCAAGCCGCTACTCTGCAACAACCCCCTCTCGTCCCCCTCCTCGCCCTCTTTAACCTCTCTATCCTCTCTGTCCGCAACATTATGCACCCGTTGCATCCTGCCAGAGCCAGATCCAGCCTGACCAGTTGCCACCTCTTCTGCCAAATGCCTGATTTCAGATGCCACCTCTTTGATCCCTCCTGCTGCCACCGCTGCTGCCGCTGCTGCGGTGCCTGCCACGCTCCGCGCTCCTTCCTTGATTCCTCCTGCTGCTGCAAATGCCACGCTCTGTGCCCCGCCTGCCACTGTCAGCGCACCCCCGCTCACACCCCCTGCTACTGTTAAAGCCCCTCCTTTCACTCCCCCTGCCACTGTTAAAGCCCCTTCTTTCACACCCCCTGCCACTGTTAAAGCCCCTCCTTTCACACCCCCTGCCACTGTTAAAGCCCCTTCTTTCACTCCTCCTGCCACTGTCAAAGCTCCCTCTTTTACTCCCCCTGCTACTGTCAAAGCCCCTTCTTTCACACCCCCTGCCACTGTCAAAGCACCCTCTTTCAACCCTCCTGCAACAGTCATAGCCCCTCCTTTCACCCCTCCTGCAACAGTCATAGCCCCTCCTTTCACCCCTCCTGCAACAGTCATAGCCCCTCCTTTCACCCCTCCTGCAACAGTCATAGCCCCTCCTTTCACCCCTCCTGCAACCGTCAATGCCCCATCCCTCACCCCTCCAGCCACCGTTCTCACTCCGCCCTTAATCCCCCCTGCCACGTTCCACGCCCCTCCCTTGATCCCCCCAGCAACAGCCACCGCACCAGTAGCCACCCCCCCTGCTGCCACCGCAGCAAGGCTCCTCGCCCCTTGCCCCACCTCCCCTGCTGCAGCAGCCACGTTCCTAGCAGCCGCGCCGGGGAGGCTGGTAACCGCAGAGACGTTACGCGCTCCTGAGCTGATCCCAGCCGCTGCTTTTATCGCTGCAGAGGAGATACCGCTTCTGACGTTCCCCACTGCAGCAAAAGAGCGGGCTCGCAGCCCTGCCATACCGCTGCTGCTGCTGCTGCTGCTGATGGCGCTGCTGCTGCTGATGGCGCTGCTGCTGGCGGCGGTATTGACAGAGAGTGCTGCTGGGAACGCGAGAGGAGCAGCAGAAGGATAAGGGTTGCCACTAATGTCCTGATTCAATGTACCTGCCACTGCCCCTGTGGTGGACCCATACTGCTCCTCCTGACTGCCTGCCTCCCCATGCCCAGCCCCCTTGCCTCCTCCTCCTAATAACAGCTTGCTTCTGCTCCTCAGCCCGCGAAACAGACTCCCACTGCTCTTACTCCTCATTCCGCTGCTCTTGCTCTTGACTTCACTCCCCTTGCTTGTGCTCGGGTTCCCCCCCGTGCCCCCACCCTCCAGGCTCTCAGCTTGGAGTTCCCCTATCATGTCCTCCTCTTCATCATCACCATCAGACAAGTCAACGACCAGCTTATCAGCTGTTACGGTAACCAAATCATCAACCATTACGGTAACCGCCTCATCAGTCGTGACAACAGCTACCTCTTCAGTTGTTACAGTGGCCGGGCTGAAGGGCTCCTCCAATTCCTCTCCTTCCTCCTCCACCTCCATCACCTCATCCCAATAATCTGGCCCCACTCTCCCCTCCTCCTCAACCTTGACCTGTTCGTCCAAACTATAACCCTCATCCTCCTCCTCTTCTTCTTCCGCCCCCTCTTCCTCCCCCTCTTCTTCCTCATCCTGTTCTTCCTCATCTTCCACTGCCTCCCCCATCCCCACATCCACACCCGAACCGCCTGTTCGGACTGACTCTGCCTCCTCTGGTTTATTCGCCTCTTCCTCCTCCGCTTCCTCCTCCTCGTCCTCCTCCTCCTCCTCCTCCCCTGATTCCTCCTCCTCTGATTCCTCATCTCCCCCTTCCCCCTCCTCCTCGTCCACCACTTCTGCCTCCCACCCCTCTACTCTCCCATCCTCCCTACCTATAAACGTCAAATCTCCCATTTCACCACTCTCCAACTCCACAACATCCGCCACTACAACAGAGCTCTCTGCTTGGAGTTCCTGTATCGTGCCTTCATCATCATCACCATCAGACAAGTCAATGACCAGCTTATCAGCCGTTACGGTAAGCAAATCATCACTCGTTACGGTAACCGAATCATCAACCGTTACGGTAACCACCTCATCAGTCGTGACAGCTACTGCCTCTTCAGCTGTTACAGAGGCTGGGGTGAAGGCCTCCCCCTCTTCCTCTTCTTCCTCCTCCATTTCCACCACCTCATCCCAATAATCCGCCCCCCCTCTCTCCTCCTCCTCTTCAACCTTAACCCGTTCGCCCAACCTACAACCCTCATCCTCCTCTGCCTCCTCCTTTGCCCCCGCTTCCTCCTCATCCTGTTCTTCCTCATCCTGCACTGCCCCCCCCAACCCCACATCCACACCCCAGCCGCCTTGCCGGACTGACTTTGCCTCCCCCCATTTATTCGCCTCTTCCTTCTTCGCCTCCTCCGCTTCCTCCTCTGCTCCCTCCCCCTCTTCCACCTCCTCCTCCTCCTCCTCCTCCTCCTCCTCCTCCTCCTCCTCCTCCTCCTCCTCCTCCTCCTCCTCCTCCTCCTCCTCCTCCTCCTCCTCCGATTCGTCCTCTCCCCTTTCCCCCTCCTCCTCCTCCACCGCTTCCTCCTCCCATCCCTCTACTCTCCTGTCCTCCCTATCTGTAAACGCCAAACCTCCCACTTCACCACTCTCCAACTCCACAACACCCGCCACTGCAACAGAGCTCCTTTTGTTAGGCGCCTCAAAAACTTCCTCCCTATCTGTAAACGCCGAGCCTCCCACTTCACCACTCTCCAACTCCACAACATCCGCCACTATAACAGAGCCCTCGTCACTATCACTTCCTTCGCAGTCACCTCTGTTCCCCTCCCCCCATTGGTCTTCCTCCATGGATCCATACACAGGCGCGGCCATGGGAACTGCAGCATCATCAGGTGAAATTTGGTCCCATTCAATCCCCCCTGCTGCCTCTGGTGCTTCCACTCTCAACTCTCTCTCCACACCCCACCCACTCTCCATTTGAGTGTTAAATACATGCTCACCGCGTGGCTTTCCAGTGGACTGAACGGCCACCCCTGCTGCCTCTCCTGCTGCCTCTCCTGCTTGCTCTCCCATTCGCTCTCCGGCATACTCTCCCAACGCTTCCTCCCAACCAGTTGGCATCTCAGCATCCTGAGCAGTGAGTAAACGCCCACCCTGTGCCTCCTCCAAATCGCCATCTGCATCCGTAGCCTCGCCACTTACCAACATCGCCTCTCCATCATCCACCACCACCATAGTCCTCCCATGCACTATCGACATTTCCATGCCATCGCCACTCCTCGCCCTGCCAGTGCCAACATCTACAAATTCACCCCCATGCCCCTCAGCTGCTACAGCACCATCACCCATCGTCAGACGGTCAGTGCCACCTAAACCTCTGTCAGAATCCGTCAGAATGTCAGCAGAGTCAGTCAACAGTCTGTCAGTCAGCCGCCCAGCCCCTGAAACGAACCCATTTCCTGGTTGAACCCCTGCTTGAGACAGAGGGATCAGAGGATGCTCAATGCTTGCTCTGTTTGACCTTGCCCGTTTAGCCTCTTCCCTCTCATCCCATTGCTGCATCGCCTGTTGAGGCCTACTCAAATTACCGTTACTATCCACACTCTCCCCCTCTCTTATCTCGTCAGAAGCTAAAACTTGTGCTGCAGGGAGCTGCATCAGTCTCGGCTGCTGTTCTGGCGTTTCAGAAGGCGCCAGTCCCGGCTGTTCCACCTGTATTGCCCGCTTCTTGCTTGCCTCACTCCTCTGGCCCTCCCCACTTGTTCCCTCCCGCTGCTTAGGCCTCTCCTTCCAACTCCCCCCTTGCTGCTGTTGCTGCTGCTGCTGCTGCTGCTGCGGGGGCGGCATCCTAGAATAGGGCTGCTGTTGCTGCTGCCCCACTGAGTCAGCAGAGCTTCGTCCATTGACAGTATGAGCACTGCTTTGGCTGCGCCTGTGACCTGCACGCTGTACTGACTGACTGCTCTCGCTCTCACTCCCTGTCCCACGCTGCTGCTGCTGCTGCTGCCATCGCCCCAAATGCGGCTGCGGCTGCGGCTGAGGCCTAGTTGACTCATCCAAGCTACTCCTGACAACATGAGCACTGCTCTGACTGCGCCTGTGCCTTGCACTCTCTGCCTGCTGACTGCTTTCGCTGGCACTCTCCCTCACAACACCATCCTGCTGCACCTGCTGTCGCCTCAAACCTTGCTGCTGCTGCTGCTGCTGCTGTGACTGCGGTCTAGGCGACTTATCCAAGCTACACCTGACAACATGAGCACTGCTCTGACTGCGCCTGTGCCTTGCGCTCTCTGCCTGCTGACTGTTCTCGCTCACACTCTCCCTCACAACACCATCCTGCTGCACCTGCTGTCGCCTCAAACCTTGCTGCTGCTGCTGATGCGGCTGCAGCCTAGGTGACTCAACCAAGCTACGCCTGACAGCATGAGCACTGCTCTGACTGCGCCTGTGCCTTGCACTCTCTGCCTGCTGACCACTCTCGCCCACACTCTCCCTCTCAGGACCATCCTGCTGCATTTGCTGTCGATTCACGTCTTGTGGCTGCTGCCGCTGCTGCAGCTGCGGCTGCTGCTGCTGTTGCTGCAGACGACTTGACGCTACATTCAAGGCCTGGCTTGTGGCATAAGCACTGCTCTGACTGCGCCTGTGCCCTGCACCCTTCACTGACCGCTTGCTCTCGCGCTCACTCTCACGCTGCTGCTGCTCTGTAGGTTGCCGTTGCTGCTGCTGTTGCGTCTGTTGTGCCACGTAATACGAGCCCTGGCTTGAGTCCTGCGCGCTGCTCTGACTGCGCCTGTACACGGAGCTTCTACCAGGGCGACTGCTCCCACTCGCGCTCGCAGATTCGCGAGGGCTGTACTGAAGCTGCTGCTGCTGCTGCTGCTGCTTCGGTTGCTGCGGCGGCGGCAGCTGCTGCTGCTTCGCCTGCTGCCGGTGCAAGCCACCAGCACCAACGCCGGCACCAGCGCCATCACCATCACCAGCAGGAGTAGAAGCAGCAACAGCAGCAACGGTAGCGGCAGCAGCACTAGCTGTCCCAGATTGCGAGCGACCAAACCTAGAAAACTGCGATTGGGCCGAGCCTGTGGGCGTGTGGGAGGGGAGGGGGGGTCTGGGAGAAGGGAGAGAGGACCTTTCGTGCGTACCAGTGGTGCTGGAACGGGAGAAGAGAGACGCGGGAGGAGGATACGTGCCTGAGGGCGACTTTTGAGTCGATTCAAAAGTACCAGTAGTGCTGGCGCGGGAAAAATGAGAGGTGGGAGGAGGATAAGCGCCTGAGGGCAAATTTTGAGTCGACTCAGAAGTCAGGAGCGGGGACCTTTCGTGCGTACCGGTAGTGCTGGCGCGGGAAAAGAGAGAAGCGGGAGGAGGATAAGAGGCCGGGGGCGACGACGAAGTTCCAGAATGATTGAACGATTTTGCCCGCAGGTAAATGTTAGGGTTAGGACCAGGACGTGAGCCTGTACTAGCCTGTCTTGACACGGGAGCGACTCTTATGTCATTTCTAGAAGGCGACAAAACCTCTCTGGAATCATCCTCGTTGTAAGAAGACGTTTCAAATTCACCCTTCTTGAACTCCACCCACGCGTTAGGGTTCTTTCGCCACTGGTCTGCTGCGGACCGCGACGAATCATGATTGTCCATCATGGCTGCGGCATCAACGGTCGTGAGAGCTCCATCTAATCCTGCTGCACCGGATGGTCCTCTATCCACGGAAGCTCCACCCCAGCGCTCCGCCGCTTCTGTCTCCGTTATAGGCCTGCACAATACGACGCTTACGTCGACGCTACGAGTCCGGCTATGAGCCGTGGCAGAACCACTTACCTTCCCGGCGCTCCTTCCCATTCGAATGTTCGAAATCTGAACATCATTGCTAAACTCCCTTCCATCAGATGAAGCACGTCGTTTTAAAGAATTAATACTAGCCGTTGATCTGTCAGCTGTCATGCCGTTTCGCTGGCCGCGATCCAGCATCTCGTCAGCAGCACTATATCTACCGTGAGGCCCCGTTGGCAGCGTTTCATTGGCTACGCTACTCCGGTCAGCGATGCTTGGACCATTCGCACTACGTTTCGTGTTCGGACCGCCAGCTACCGGGACAGAACGGCTCGTACCGCTGCTGCTGCTGTGGCTTCGTCGCAATGACCGTTGTGCGACATCATTCGGACGAGACGCCGACATTGTGCGAGTCTGGCTGGGCTTCGAGTTACTGACAGGGTCAGGATGGCATCGGGAAGACGTGGGCTTTGAGCAAGTATTTTAGAAATTAGGCGAACGTGCATAGAAACGCGCAGCAACGCGTTTGTCAGCATTGATCGACGGGTTTCTCTCGCCTTTCACGTTCCATGATGCTGAAAATACGTAGTCTCTCACTGCTATGCAGCCGGCCTATCTAAGCCTGAGCAAGTTAGAACAGTTATTTGACCTACGTCAGGCAAAATGACCTGACGGGAGATGAAAGAACTTCCAAAACAGCAGTGCAAACGAACGTCAGCTTTGCCGCGGCACTCCCAAGGGTTGATCTCCGTGCCCTGCTTGGTTGGGCAATTCCCAGGGCGGAAACGTGGTTCGGTTCGGAGGCACCCTCGCCAATCAAGCATGTCCCTTGACCAGCGGCAATCCCAAGAACCGAGATGGACCATAGTTAACCGAACATACCAACGCAGCGCACTGTTCCATCCCAAACCCAGGCTGAGAAATTGCGGAGGGATGCGCAACCGACAAGAAACCCCACGTGGACTATGGCACCCGCGATTTCTGTAGCCGTTGGAACAACTGACTCGATTGTGACCTTTGTCATAATCTTTTGAACATTGATATATAATAACAAATCTACTCAATACACCTCAACAACAACAAACACAACACACACACACACACACACACACACACACATACACACGTACACACGTACACACCCACACACACGTACACACACACATACACACACACACATACACACACACACACACCTACACACACACACACACACACACACACACGCACGCATACGCACGCATACGCACGCACACGCACGCGCGCACACGCACACACACGCACACACACACACACATGCACACACACGCACACACATGCACACACACGCAGACACACGCAGACACACGCACACACACGCACGCACGCATACACACATGCAATGTGTTAGAGGAAGGATCTTGGATAGGATAGGAAGTGCTTTGGTAGAGTTGGTAACGGAAGTCTTGTAAGAACTCATATCATAGTGAATGTAAATGACCAAGTTGATTAAAAGATAGAATACAAGGAATATAAATAGTCCTAGTCTAGCCATGTACTCTAAGGGGTACATTCCCTTATTATAACTGTTTTACAGGCATTTCTACAGTGATACAGTGACTCTGACTGTTGTACTGCCTTTCTTGTTACCGAGTCGCTGCATGTAACCTGTACGGTTACGCCTGTTGCCATTCCTCGATGGTAAGTCAAGCGTCGGTCCAGATGGTCAACAGTCGCGACAGTTGACTTTTGCGACTGTTGTCCTTCCTGCCTTGTTACGGGCTGATCCGATATTGCGGTAGTTACTGCTTCGACAGAGTCAGGTGCGATACTACTGCACCTACGGGAATGCTAAGTATAATTCCCTTCACACTCCAACACTCCCCTTCATTCCTGGAGGTGCGCCACGTGGCTTTTGCGAGTGACTCCGCACAGATCCGAGCAGTACTGGAACTTCTGACGTGGCAGTTTTTTCGTGGGGAAATCAGCTGCCATTTCGCCAGTTGGACAGTAGATGAGCTGGACCTTCCCTTTGTCGATTTCGTCCTTCACGAAGAAGTAACGCAGGGCGATGTGTTTCGCGCGGTTGACGAAGCCTGGCTTGTTTGCGATTTTGATCGCGCTCTGGTTGTCGCAGAGTAACTTAAAGGACCCGTTCATCGCCGTCTTCGTTTCCTGCAGGAGTTTTGTGAGATAGAGTCCTTCGCAAACTGCTGCGCTTGCTGCGATGAATTCTGCTTCTGCTGACGAGAGGGCGATGAGTTCTTGTTTGTTGGAGTTCCAGGAGATGGTTCCTGCAGGCTCAAGTTTGAAAATGAAGCCTGTGCGGGACCTCCTGTTGTCTGCGTCCCCAGCTTGGTCAGCATCCACGTAGCCAGTGAGTTGTAGTGGGGCTGTTAAGTTGGCCTTGTAGGTGAGACCGACATCGGGCGTAGAGATGAAGTACTGTAAGGCGCGGCGCAGGTCTGCTAGGTTCTCCCCTTCAGGTCGGCGCAGGTACTGGGCGAGCTGGCTGGCGATGTAGGGTAAATCCGAGCGGCATGTGACGCCAGCGAACAGTAAACATCCGAGCTGCTGCTGATAGAGACGGTGATCAGCCGGGGAGAGCAGAGTAGTGTCGGGCTCGTGGTTAGGCAGAGGAATGCGGAACGGGGTGGTGACGCCGACGGGAGCTATCCCGAACTTCTTAGCAAGGGTCTCGGCGTACTTTGCGGCGGAGAGATGAATTGTGTCCGCGGTCTGAGTGATGTTGAGGCCGAGGAATTGAGTGACCTCATGGTCGATCGTGACCTCCAGCTTCTCCTGAAGTTCGCGTTCGAAGCGATCGAGCAGGTCGTTGTCGTCGCCGGTGTAGAGAAGATCGTCGACGTAGGCGACGAGCAGGATGAAGTGGCCGCGGGATTCAAGGCGGTACATCCCCTGATCGTGGGGAAGCTGCTGAAAACCGAGCTCGATGGGGACGCTGTGAAGATGCTGCTGCCACAGGCGTGGTGCCTGCTTGATGCCGTACAGGGACTTTTGTAGAAGACAAACTGCGTCGCCGTCTTCTTCGAACGCATGTGGCTGCTCGACGTAGATGATAGCGTCGACGATCGCGTAGACGAACGCGTTGGAGACGTCGATCTTGCGAAGCGGGCGCTGTTTCACGGCGGCGATGCAGAGAAGGATGCGCACTGAGGTATGACGACCGACGGGTGCGAATGTCTGGTCGTAGTCCACAAATTGTGTCTGCTCGAATCCGCGAACCACCCAGCGTGCCTTGAATTTCTCGACCGTTCCGTCCGCGAGAGTCTTGATGCGGAAGACCCACTTCCCTGTAAGGATTTTCCTCCCCTTTGCGTGGCGGCGTGGTACCAGCTTCCAGGTGCCACGGCGTTGGAGTGCAGCAACTTCGGCGGCCATGGCGGCTCTCCACTTCTCAGCATCGGGCCCGTTGAGAGCCTGGCGAACGGTGGTGGGCTCGATCAGCTGCTGGTTACCCCGAACGGCGACAGCGAGGCCAAGAATGCGAAGGCCTGTGAGGTTGGATTCGGCAGTGGTGGTAACTTCGACCACGTCGTCGTTGTCGCCAGGGATGTCGCGAAAGGTGTCGCGGGATGAGTCTCGGGCTGGGTCTTCATTCATGGGTGAGTGCATTTCTGCACTTGCATAATCGTGCTGTGCCTGTACTGCTTCATGGGGATCGATGTTGGTTGGGAGGTGTGCAGGAGTGCCGAGCTGCTCTGTAACGGGGATGAAGGGTGCCTCGTCTGCCACGTCGG